GCCGCCCTGCGCCCTCGCCGCGTGCCCCTTCGGGGGCGGGGTGCCAGTTCCGAAGTGCCCTCCCACATGTTGCGGACTGGGAAACTGAGGCCCGGCCACAGCCAGGACCCGAACCAGCCATGCCTGAGCGAATGATGTGCGGGACTCATCCCATGTCTCGCATTTCTGCGGGATCCGGCCACCCAACAAGGGCGCCCAGAGCAGTGCGTGCCGTGTGTGCGGGGCATGTCGTGTCGCCGCCGCTGCATGTCCCGTCTCAGTTTAATGTTCATGCCGCTCTGCCCGCGGTGGGCACATTGTCCCCACTTGACACATCAGAAAACCGAGGCCCAGCCACTCACAGTCCCCACCCCTGGGAGGAGAAGACCTGGGCTGACCCCATGAGTGCCCTGTCTACTCTTACTCCCATTTTCCAGGTGGAGAAACTGAGGCACAGAGCGATGTCATCTATGGAAAGCATCCTGGCAGTGGTTGGCAGAGTCAGGATTTGAACCCAGATCTCCTCACTTCAGAGGGGTGTCAGCTCTTACCCATAATTAGGGAAGAATGTAGACAGCATGTTGGTCTGGGCCTCAGTTTCCCCATCTGTAACAAGGCAAGAATTGGCGTCCAGTGGAGTTTCTCCATCTAGGCTGTGTGGACAGGCTTCTGGGGGGAGGGCCGCGCACCCCACCAAGGAGTGTGCAGCTGTAGTGTGTGTCTGTATGGGGGCGCGTGTCTGTGCTGCATGTGTGTGCGTGATGGATGTGTGTACAGGCATGAAAGGTATCTGTGCGCATGCGTGTGGTGTGTGTCTGTGATAGGAGTGTGTGTTTATGGGGAGGGACCAGAGCTTTCATCCGAGGGGACCCCAGCCCCCCAACCTCCCAGGACAGTCTCTAACCCCCCCTCTGCCTGAGTCCATGTGCAGCCGGCAGTCCTGGTCTGGGGAACCCCTTGCCCAGCTCGGCCATGCACCGTGGGCCTGTTCCTGCCACGGCTTGGCCAGATCCGAGATCCCTGCTGGAAACACTCCTCAGAGCATCTGTCACCCCCACCTCTGATCTCTGGGGACCGCCTCTCCTTAGCGCACCAGGCCCTGAGGCTGAGTCAGTGTCGGGGAGCCATCACCGGTGTGCCTGCATAGAGGAAGCCGGTTCTCTGTGCCCCGAGTGGGCGGGTGGAGAAAGCTGGGTTCAAATCCTGCCGCTGCCGCTTCTGCCTGAGTCAGCCCAGGCTAGTCCTCCCTCTCTCTGAGCCTCAGTTTCCCCTGTGAGGAGGATCGTTTACCTTCCTTACGGGGTAAACATTGAGATATCATGGTCATGCCCTGATACCCGCTGTCCTGCGCTTCACATGGTCCCCCAAGGGCTCACCACTTCCTCCAACGACATCACCGTGGTACCAACTTTGCCTCCTTAGGGAGCTGCCTTCCTCCCTTCCACGTGAAATTCTGGGGCATCTACTGTGCCATCTCTCTGACCCCCAAGAAATGCAGCTCTGTGCCTCTCTGATTAGCTTGTTTTTGTCACAGCTAGATCAATGACTCAGGCTTCTGGGTGACTGGTTACTCTTGAGGGGCCAAGTCCCAGGAGGGTCCCAGGCCCGTCTGAGGCCCTGATCAAATGGCTGGGATCAAAACCCACCACCCCACGGGGTGCTTTGAAGGGCAGGCAGCTGTGTAGGGAGGAGAAGCGCTGGGCAGTGGCTTCTGTCCTGGGGGTGCCTTGGAGGGACCGAGAGGTCCCATCTGGGACCCCAGATGGGTGCCATAGAATGAGAAAGCACCACTAAGTCTGTTTGCAACATGTGCGAGATGCTTATGTGATTAATGGCATTCACATTCCTTAACCAATGCCACCAGACCCGTGGAAGATTCAGGCCACTGCAGAATTTCTCTAGCAAGGGACTCTCTTGGTAAAAGCTGTTATTAACATTTTCACATCAGAGCAGGGGCCTGTCCTTGCTGAGGCTGGGATCCCCTGCACCTGGTATTCGTTTATAACTATAGCCAGACCTGTGGCAGTGCGGCCTGGTGGTTACCACCGCACAAGCTTGGCGCCCCATCGCTCAGAGGGTCAATTCCCAAGCAACCACTAGAAGCTGTGTGACCTAAGACAAGTCACTTCCCCTCTCTGAGCCTCATTTCCTTGCCTGAAAAAACAAGCCCTAGGACCTTTTTTAATCTCTTTGGCTCAAGAGTCTGAGCTTCTGGGACAATGTGAAAGCTTCAAGTCTCCCTGCGGTGGCCCTGGGGCCCAACCGAAGCCCCTTTTAAGGGCCCTTTTTCCTGGTGGACGTTGGCCTGCTTTCTGTCCTCTTTCCTAGCCGAGCGGAAAGGCAGGAAATGCCACGGGGGCCTGGGTTTTGGTCATTTGAGGTTTCAGTGTTTGCTGAGACAGGGAGCAGAGGGGCTGGCTGGCTCGAGGTCTCAGCGCCTGGCCCTGCAGGCGGGGCCCCCCCCCTGGGAGCCTGGTCTTCTCCGCTGCCAAGACCAGACCACAACCGCCAGCAACGACAGCAGCTTCCGTTCCTGAGTGCTGACCGTGTGCCAGGCGCTGTGCTAAGCATTTTGCCCGCATTGTCTGCTGCCCTCCTCTCTGCCACCCGGAGGCGGCCTTATTGTCCCCAGGTGTGGGGCCCACAGCTGGTGAGTGATGGGTGCCGGCCAATGTGCTCAGCCACCAGGCCACGCTGCCACCCTCTGGCTGAGCCCTGCAGGGGGCTGCTTTGGGGTAAGAGATAACGTGGCTCAGGTTTGGGCTCCCATCTGGGGGCCGAGAGAACACATGGACACAAACCACCCAGACCTGGACCCACGCACATGGGGACCACACAGGGACACACACGCAGCCACCCTCCTGGAGCAGGCCGCGGGGTTCCGGGAAACACAGCCTGTCTGGTTCAGAGTCCCCACGGCGTCCACCCTGGCCTAGTCCAAACAGGAAATGCTTTCTCATAACAAACAAACCTGGGCTGCAGCCTCCTTCCCCTGTGACCTCCCTCAGGGCCCAGCTAAGGGCCTCCTTCCTCCTGCTGTGTCCCACAGGGACAGCCTCCCTGGCTCAGGGTGCCTCAGAATGTCAGCCCTGTTTACACACCAGCTCGTGCCGGCCCAGCACCCACACCCGCCATCCTCCAGGTGAGGAAGCAGCCAGAGCGGGCCAAAGGGTGCCCAGAGCCCGTGGTGGCAGCCCCCGGGGGCCTTGGCAGCGCCTGGACACCATGAAAGGGAAGGGGCCGTGTAAACGGTGCCCAGACAAAGGGCAGGCTGGGCCTTCCCCGCGCTTCCAGGTTAGGGAACAATGACTGCTCTCTGCGCCTTCGATCGGGGCTTTGGCTCTGCTGCCCCTCGTGCTCAGAGCAGCGGACGCCCCGCAGGGCCGGGGCCAGCGCGCTGGGGGACCCCGAGAGAGCCTGCAGCTGCCGGGCCAAGTTATTTATGCTCCGTGGAGCTGTCCTTCTCACCCAGCTCGTCCCTGCTCACGGAGCTGGGACTGGGGCTGGAGGCAGTGACGGGAGGAAACTGCCAGAAAATCATAAATCAGGGCTCCGAGAGGGCCACCTGCCCCCTCTCCTCCACTCAGGAATCCTGGGGAGGAGAGCCCCGCGCCTTGTTGAGGGTGTAGGAGGAGGACAACAGGATGATAGGACTGGGCACAGCAAGCATGGCAGGACAGGGCGCCTGTATTGGGGGTTAGGAGCCCTGGATGTTCCGTGTAGACAAGAGTCCCTTCTCTCAGGGCCTCAGTTCCCCCATCTGGAAAATGGGGGCGAAATGAGGATTTGGGGACTTTCCTGTGACTGTGCTTTGTGGACTATGAAGGGATGGACAAATGAGAGGCCTTCTCTTTAACAACATTTGTTCCCACTTCTCTTCCTCTGGTAGTTTGCCCTGAATCCTCTCCTTCCTGTGCCCCCACCCACCCACCTCTGCCCCACCTGACTTCTCTGAGCTTCCTTACTCTGCTTCTCTTTCCACACATCCCCTCCTACAAAAATGGACTCATAATGGGATCTCATTATGCAGCATCTCCCTAAGGAGTAGAAGGAGGAGCTGTTGGCTTGTTCATACTAGAGTGTGAATGACTGATATGTTTAATGTTGGGAAGAGGGGGAATCAACAGAGATTCCTCTCCTTTAAACCTTAAATTGTTGGTATCACTGATAGTGGAACTTCTAGGCTGGTGAGGGGAATGTTTGGTGACCAGGGGCCTGGGAACATGGTCTGCAGAGTGTGAGGACCTTTCATGGGGGAAGGTATCCATCTACTAGCTCCAGTGAGGTAAAGCCCACCCCCTGCTGGATGTATCTGGGGTGGTGGCTATAAGGCCCTATGGTTAGACGGATTTGGCAGAAATGAAGGGCAGGCAAGAGGAGCCACTCACAGCAGAGACCCCGGAGCTGCCCGCCAGCCCTGCCAGTCCTAGGTGGCACCAGCCAGGTCATGAGCATGTGGGCCTGCCCTACGTGATGCCCCCAAGATGGATGGTTTTCACCTCCACGGAGGTGGTTCTGAGGGGCAGGAGGAGAATGAGAGCAGTGGGGAGAGAGACAGAGTCAGAGACAGACAGAGAAACAGAGATAGAGAGACACTCCCAGAGGGAGAGAGACCCAGGAAGCCAGAGATAGAGGGAGATGAAGTCAGCCAGACAGACGTAGAAAGAGACCAACGGAAAGACAGAGCGACTGAAAAATAGACAGGCAGACAGATGTGGAAAGAGGGGCACTCTGGGTAGAAGACCCCAGGTCATTGGTGTCAGCTCCTGGGGGA